TGCATATGGGTGCCATACTAGAAGATTCTGCATGTTCATCTAGCCACTGAATCCACCTTTACTGCTTCACTAGTAATGGAACTGTCTTGACCCCTGCCCTCTTGATCTAAGCGGATTGGGGCCTCTTTCCCAGCTTGCACTGGGAGGCTACCCTCGAAAAGTGTGAATACTTCTGGAGCCAGTGGGAACAGAGCCGTCGTTACTGCCCCTGGATTTTGCCTCTGGTCCACTGAGGCTCCCTGACCCTCTAGCAAGCCTTCCCTTCATAGCCAGACAACACCACCCCCTCCGGTGTGCACACTCGAGAGCAGCTAGGCCCCTTCAGAAAAGGTCGAATCTGAAGTCTTGTAGCTCTTGGCCCTTTTGGCAGGTTCACATGCACTTTAGCTTCATATCTTTGAAGAGGTTTTAGCAGTTCAAGTGGAAGACATGCTTCCCTCAGCCTTTCCTCAGGCTGACCACCTCCTTTTTTTTTTTTTTTTTTTCAGTCATGGGCCTGAACTCTGAGCCTGGGCACTGTCCCTCAGCTCTTCAGCTCAAGGCTAGCACTCTACCACTTGAGCCACAGTGCCACTTCCGGCTTTTTTCTGCTTATGTGGTGCTAAGGAATTGAACCCAGGGCCTCATGCATGCAAGCCAAGCACTCTACCACTGAGCCACCTTCCCAGCCCATGACCAGCTCCTTCTTTTTTTTTTTTTCCCAGAACTTCTTTTTTTTTATTGCGAAAATACTGTACAGAGGGGTTACAATTACATGGGCAAGATAATGAGTACATTTCTTATCAAGCATTGTAGCCTCCTCCTTTGTTTCCCCTTCCCATCCCCCCCACCCCCCCATCCAATCCTCCTCCTCCCCTCCCCAGAACTTCTTAACTCTGATTAGAGCCCTTGAGCAAATGCTTAAGAGCATAGACTTTGGAGCTAGGAGTCTGACAATCACCCAACCATTCCCAGCTTCAGTTCCCTCCTCTTAAAACAAACAAACAAGCATTGTAATAATATCTACTCACTTTTGAGGGTTAAAGAGCTATTATTATTATTATTATTTTATTTTTGTTGGTCATGGTGCTTGAACTCTAAGCATGGATGCTGCCCCTCAGCTCTTCAGCTCAAGGCTAGTGCTCTACCTAGCGCACTCTACCATTTGAGCCACAGTGCCAGTTAAAGCTTTTTCTGTTTATGAGGAAGCGAACCCAGGGCCTCATGCATGAGAGGCAAGCACTCTACCACTGAGCCACCTTCCTAGCCCTAAAGAGCTATTATTTGTAAAAATACTTAGGACAGTTCCTAGAAAGAATAGGTGTTATATAATGGCATGCCATCAATAAATTCTGTGACACTTAGTCACATGGAGGAGCTGTGGATCTTCATGGTTGCACAGGCATGTGATATGCCTGCTCTACCCTGGAGAGGTGTTTTGCGGAGGAATAAATGGGCTCCCCAAGAGAGGGACAATGTGCTAGGTGGTTTGAGACCACTTCCGTTGGGGAAGAGTTTGAGTTTGGGTTTGGGGGATCAATCACTTCTCTTTGCTGAAAGGCAAGTGCAGAATTCCAGGGAGTGGGGTAGGTGGCTTCCTGCTGTTGGATGCTTTTCGGTCCTTGTCCTTGTCTGAGACAGCATCACTTCCAATAAGCACCTAGCCACTGTTTTACACACTTAAGAGAGAGGTTGGCCACCATACTGCCTGACTACCCGCCAGTTCCCATCCCCCAAGGTGGGTGTGATCGGGTCAGGCTTGTTCCTTCCCATTATACAGACTCCCACATCTCTTTCCACATGTGTACATGTAATTGTACCTCCAGGTCTCCTGAGTTTTGCCTAAAGTTTGGCCATTCTCTGTTAAAAACACTTTTTTTTTTTTCTTCTATTGGGCTGTTTTGGAGTTCCAAGGATTTAGGCAACTGACCACTGCCTTCTTTCTACCAAGTTCTTTACTGTTAAATGTCTTAAATACAAAATATGTCTGAAGGATTAGGAAACACCCACTTTTAAAAATGAAAGTTAAGACTAGAAAGGATAAATGAAGTGAACAGATTAAAGTTACCAGTGATGAAACAAAATCCAAGCAGAAAATGAAAGGCGAGACTTGAACAGACTCATGAAGAATTCTAGAGTGGGAGCTGGGAAGGTGGCTCAGTGGTAGAGTGCTTGCCTTGCATGCATGAGGCTCTGTGTTCAATTCCTCAGCACCACATTAGCAGAAAAGGTGGGAAGTGGCATTGTGGCTCAAGTGGTTAGAGCGCTCGCCTTGAGCTGAAGAGCTGAGAGACAGCCCAGGCCCAGAGTTCAAGCCCCACAACCAACCAAAAAAAAAAAAAAGAGAGAGAACTCTAGAGTTGTGGTAAGCAGATAAAATTAAATAGTAGAAAGGTGAGAAAGAGCTAACACTTAGATGTTGAAACAAAATCTGTATTTTAACAAAATTATGCACACTTAACACAGCTTGCTTTGCACCGCCTACCTGTCAGTTGTTTGGTGTTACCTGTGGCAAGCGGTCACCAGGCTGACAGCACATCCATCAGAGTAAAGCTGGCCTTCACAAGGCTTAGCCTCAACCTGAAGCCTTTCTTGGCTCATTGCAGATCGCTGCTCTTTCTCTTCTCCCTTATTGGGGTCTTGAGAATACTTTCTCAATAAGTCTTTTTGCATGCAAATATGATCTTTGTCATTAAAAGTCTCTAAGGTTCAGAAGAAAATGTCTCTCTAGCCTGAGCCTTACTTTATTATTTTTTTTGCTGTTTTGGTGCTGGGGCAGCAGTAAACTCTGGTGACACCGAGGTTTGGTGGCACTGAGTAAGGAACCTTGGCTCACCTATCACAATAGCCACTTGCCTTTTTTGTCTCAGGTAGAAGACAGAGCTTTAATGTCTACTTGCTGCAAAGGTAAGCAGCCTGAAGCCAGCGTAGGGGACGACTGGTTACAAGTCTAAGTCAGGCAAACAACAGGTGGCATGTAGGGCCCAGAGAGAGTGATGGGAAGAGCTGAGTTATCACTTACTAAGAGGAACCCCAAGGGGAGGTACCTAGCAAGAGAGGAGTTCTGGGCCTGCACGGCATTCCTAGAGCAGCTTGGAGTGGGCACTGCCTGTCTAATGCCAAACACATCTTGTGGTAGCATCACTTCTGGTGGCATCCAGCCTCAGCAGGGCAGCTCCCTCTGCAGATGGTACTGCCCTGACCAGCCTTGACCCACTTGGCCTTCTCTCTAGCCTGATCATAGTCTTTTAAAACCAAACAAAAAAACATTGCAAAAGAGCACCTCTTGATCAGCTGTTATCTAAGATAGCTATTTATGTTTTTGTCCTAAGGCTTGAACTCAGGGTTTTTTGCTGCTTAATTGGAGATAAGAATATCATGGACTTTCCTGCCCAGACTGGCTTCAATCTACAGTCCTCAGATCTTAGCCTCCAGAGTAGCTTGGATTACAGGCATGAGCCACTAGTGTCTGGCACGATTTTTTTTTTAAAGGAAATAAGAAAACAGTTTATTCTGAACCAAACTTGAGTGTCTAGCCAGGGGCTGGTGGCTCACGCCTGTAATCCTAGCTACTCAGGAGGCTGAGATTTGAGGATTGTGGTGCCAGCCCGGGCAGGAAAGTCCATGAAACTCTAATCTCCAAGTAACCATCAGAAAACTGGAAGTGGCTCTGTGGCTCAAATGGTAGAGCACTAGTCTTGAGCTGAAGAGCTGAGGGACAGCACCTAGGCCCAGAGTTCAAGCTCTATGACCTACCAAAAAAACCAAACAAACAAACAAAACATGAGTGTCCAAAACTTGAGAAGATGGATGCAAGTTATCCTTCACGATGTGTTGCCACTTTTTATTTTTATTTTTCCACTTCCAAGTAACAGGATTTTGTTGGTTGCTTGTCTGTCTCGTAAGGTAGAAGTGAGTGAGGACATTGCTAGACATTGCTAATTGGCTTGGAAAATCACTCCAATTGAAGGAGCAGGAATGCCTCCTGCCTAACAATACTGCAAACCTTCCTTTCCCACCTTCTTCTCTTCCCACCTTCCTCACTATGTGAGCCAAGAAAGAGCAGTAGGGTCTCAAGAATTTATTTCTTAATTGATTTCATGAATAATCCAATTTCCCACTCAGAAAGAATTTGCTGTTTATATTAGATGGGGCTGGATCCTTTTTGTCTCCCGTGTTGTCAGTCCTTGAATATTTTAGCTGGAAATTAGATGAACCGAGTATTGTGGGACAATCACAGTGATGACTATTAAATCCCACCTCCAGAAGTTCTTGACATAGCTTCCCTTACTGACTCATGACTGCCTTTTTTTCTTATGATTATTTAAATCATCATTGTACCTTTAAACCTATATTAGCCCACCTTTTCATTATGATCACAAAACACTAGAGGATGGATAAGTTTGTAAAAGAAAGTAGATTTTTGTGGCTCACAGTTCTGATCCAAAGGGTGAGGGGTTATATGGTAATGACCTTGCTGGCTGAGCCATGTGTGTGTGTGTGTGTGTGTGTGTGTGTGTTATGTATTTGAGTATGCATGTGAGCACACACTCTCTTCTAGTAAAGCCATTGGGATTCAATCATGAGGGCCAACTCATAATGACTTCATTGAATCCTGATACCCTTCCCAAGGTCCTGCCTCTAAACACCAGAATTGGCTTAATTTTCACCTTCTTGATACTGTAAAAAAGGGATTAAATCTCAACACAGGGACCCATGCAAACCATACTGAAATGATAACAAGATCCCGCTGTCTTGGCTCTGTGGGTGGTATAACTCATTGTTGAAGGGGTATCATGGGACTTGAACTGAGCTGGGGCGGTGCCTGCTCCATGCTCCTGAGCACCACTCTGCAGGCTGGTTGTAGTGCTGCCTCAGTGGGCATCTGGGTCTCAGAAGAGCCTTAGTGTCTCCTCAGTGCTTACAAAGAGGCTGCCCTTGGGGAGGGTACCAGGTCGGGCTGTGGTGGGCCTGCCTGCTTCTCCGGTTCTCAGCATCTCTCCCACCTCCTTCTGCTTCAGCACAGCGCCCCAGCCTCCAGGCCCACTGATGGAGCCGCTCACCAAAGGGTCCTGTGGGAGTCAGATGGCACAGACCCTTCTGTGGAAAGCCAAGTCATCTCTCTCCTTTGGCATCCAGCCCCTACAGACGTGGCCAACAAAAGACCCTGAACTAGAGTCCCAGGTCAACCTGTAAGTAAGTAAAAGAAGCAGCCTCTCAGCTCGGGGGGTGGTAGTGGTGGTGGTATTTCTCTTGCTGATGTCTTAGACATCTATTTAACAATATTCACTAAGTACCTACTCTGGACAGACCCTGTGTCAAGATGAGCAAATCAAATTCAGCCAGCCACTTATCAAGTTATGATTTGGGAAATATTTACAGAATGCCTTCTCTGTCAGCATACTGGCATGCAAGAGAAAATGTCTTCCTTACCCTTGATAGAGGAGCTTGACTCGTGGGGACAGCAGTTCCCCTAGCCACCGCCAGGCAGCAGTCTGCCCCTCCCAGACCCCACTGTCCCACAAAAGGCTTGCTCCAACATTTGAACTTGGAGGAAGGAATAGAAAGTTCATTTGGCTGTAGGCAGACTCTTTGCCAACAACAACAACAAAAAACACTGATAGTAAGGAAATGTATGCTTTTTTAAAATTAATTTTATTTTTTTTTGTGAACATACTGTACAGAGGGGTTACAATTACATGGGCAGGATAATGCGTACATTTCTTATCAAGCATTGCAGCCTCCTCCTTTGTTTACCCTTCACATCCCTTCCCAGCCTCCCCCCCACCCCCCCAAGGAAATGTATGCTTTTATCCAGACTTTTTATTTAGTGTCTACCATCCTTAATTCTTAACTGATTCCAGAGAAAGAAGGGTTGATTTGTTGGTAACCATTCAAAGTTCCAACAGTTGTGAGACAGGTGGATTTGGAAGGCAGATCTGCTCTTAGCTTTGCTTTCTTTGTGTTTCCTTGTTCTTTCCCATCTTTATCAATAGAGTCCTTCACACATAGAAAGTGCTGACTGAATATTTGTTAGGTGTAAGTTAAGAGTAATCAAGCAGAGATGCCAGCTGGACGTCTTCTACAACAAGGAAGGTGTGCCTAAAACAGTGGAAATGGAAAGAAGGAGCAGGACACTGAAAGATGTTGTGAGATTCTGCAAATAGGCTTATGGGCAAAGTGGAGTGTGCAGGGTTATACATTGCAGGATTACAACTGTAGCAAATATTGAAAACCATTTAATTCAATGGCTTGAGTATATAAAATATGATATAACTACACAAATAGAATACTATGTAGCCATAAGAAAGAATGCAGGAGGTTTTTGGTAGTGATATTTCCTTTGAAAGACACCAAGACACAAGTACAGTTATTCCCACTGTCATGGGGGATGGGTTCCAGGACCCTTAACCCCTGCAGATACTGAAATCCATGGATTACATAAAACAACATAGTTTGTAAATAGCCTACACATATCTGCCCACATCATCTTATGGTTACTTATACTGCCTAATACAACATAAGTGTGCTTCTGGTAGTTATTATACCATTTAGGGAATTCTGGCAAGGAAAAAAGTCTGTATGTGCTCAGCACAGATGCAATTTTTAAATGTATTTTTGATCCATGGCTGGTTGAATCTGCAGATGTGGAGCCTGTAGATACAGGGGGCTAACTGGTGTTTGCGTAAGGAAAGGGGGAAGGTGAACACACAGTTCTCCTTTGTGAGTGCATACACCATCTCTAGAGGATACACAGGAAGCAATCCAGGTTTCCCGTGGGGAGAGGAAATGGGGGGTGAGGGCAGGCAGAGGCAGCATCGTTTTGAAACAAGTGAATGTGTCATCCTTAGAAGAGTGAAATGCAGATGCACAGACACAACCTTGCAGCTTCAAAAATGATTCTGTGGAGGGAGCCTGGTGGCTGGTTAGCTGTTGACATGAGAAGGCTTAGGAGATGATTGTAACGCTGAGAGGCTGGAAAGAGTGGCAGACCTGTTAATAGTCAGGAGTGGGTCTGCTTTGGGACTTACTGTGTTTAGGGAGCTGCTTGAGTGTCCATGTACGTATGTCCACCAGTTGTAGGACTGGGGAGAAAACCGGAGCTAGAGGTTTGATGCAGAGCAGTGAGGGCCTCAGGGAGGGAGGTGACCTGAATTGCAGACAGAGCAAAGGGATCATCATCTTCAAGGCAATGTGGAATTCAGGGTGATGTGCGGGTGGCCTCTGAGGCACATGAAGAAGACTTGCTTGTTGCTCTGTGTGACCTGAAAGCAGGTGGAAGATAGACTCACTGTCTGCAAGGACATCTTGGCCCCTTTCTGGATGTTCTGGTTTCTGTTGAGGCCCTGCAGGAATAACCTCCAGGTATACTGTTTGCTCTCTCGCAGGCTCTCTCTCTCTCTCTCTCTTACCATTACTAAGAATGGTAGTCCTTTGACTATTTGAGTCTTCAGTGCTTTCCAATTTCGTATTCCACAAGGACCAGCAGCCCACTTGTGTTCTCTCCTCACTCTCTGAACAGCACAGCACTCTGTAAGGGCATGCTATAAATAGTCATCAGAGACTGGTGCTTTGTAATCAGTGCTTTTAACAAGCAGAAGGCCCTGTCCTGCCCTAAATTCACCTGAGTTGACACACATTTCTGTGAACTCTACTTTGGCCTTGGACACAAGCTGATTGTTCTTTCTGTTGGTTAACATGTTCTTAGTTTTAACATCATTGCCTCCTCTATTTCTGTTCCCTCAGTTTATCTATTAGTCCTCTTTCTAAAGAGCCATCTCCTCTCATCACCCCAGAGTACCCTGAGTTTCATGATTTCCCTTGCTTAGGAGACACTGGCTCAGTTAGTAGACCACTAGCCAATGAGCCATAGCATCAGGTGCTGAGTTTGTGTTCCTGTCTTGGGCCTAAAAAAAGAGACTCTTCCAGAGTCAGAGCTGCTCAGGGAGCAAACATTTTAGGAAATCTTTCAAAAATATAGTTCGACTTTAAAAACACTATGATCCGGGCACCTGTGGCTCACACCTGTAATCCTAGCTATTCAGGAGGCTGAGACCTGAGGATCATGGTTCAAAGCCAGGTGGGGCAGGAAAGTCCAAGAGACTCTTATCTCCAATAAACCCCACCAAAAACCAGAAGGGGCGCTGTGGCTCAAGTGGTAGAGTGCTTACCTTGAGCTGAAGAGCTGAGGGACAGTGCCCAGGCCCAGAGTTCAAGCCCCATGACCGACAAAAAACAGAAACAAAAATCAAAAAACAAACAAAAAAAAAACCACCATGAAAAAGTCAGTGTTTTTCTGGTAGCATAGGCACGCCAAGTGTGCCTAGAGGAAATTAGTGCCAGGGCCAGTGTGGAGTAGATTCCAACTAGTCCACAGACTTAGATCTAACAGAGAAATCATCTAAAATGTAGCCCAGAACCTTCTCCCTCTCCTGGGTTATCTCAAGGTGAGATTCCTTCAGTTCCACAGCATTCATTTGTATGTTTAAGACTAAATTTTTCACGTGTCGGTACTAGCTATGAAAGGATCCCAGCACGCCACTTTAGCTTAAGGATTGTTTTAAGCTGAAGGCAATTGAGGACAAAGAAACAGGGAAGCTCGGCCTCTCCCTACCCCCACCCCTGTCTACTGAACGGCGTGAGGGACGCTCCTCTCCTCTCCCACACCAAGAGAATGACTGTTTCCACTGAAGACAGAAAAAGCAGCAGGTGACTCTGCCAGACAAACCTTGCAAGCAGCCCTTGTATGCCATTGGTCGCCCCAGATTCACCTTTCCATAATTTGTGCCATGTAAACAGAAGCCCCGCCCCTTCCTATTTGTCAGCTTCCCCATAATTTATCACCCTTCGTGTGAAAGTAGCATATAAACCCCATGTGGATTTCCATTTATCTTCTGGGGATCCTCTAAACATGTAAAGTTAAAAATAGAACCTGGGCACTGGTGGCATATACCTGTAATCTTAGCTACTCAGGAGGCTGAGATCTGAGGATCATGTTTTGAAGCCAGATCAGGCAGACAAGTCTGTGAGACTATTATCCCAGATAACCACTAAAAAGCCAGACATAGAGCTGTGGCTCAAGTGGTAGAGTACTAGCATTGAGAGAAAAAAAAATCCTCAGGGACAGTGCCCAGGCTCTGAGTTCAAGCCCCAGGACTGGCACGCACGTGCACACACACACAGGATTTGTATTCCTTTAACAGGTTAACATGTCTTTTGTCAGTTATATTTGCAGGGTTCAAGTGCAGGAATTAAGAGGGTAGAAGAAAAGATTTTCTTCCTTGACAACTATGTACCCAAAGTGAGAAAATTTTAGACTATAGCAAATGCTAGCTTTTTGGTTTTCCAAGGGATTTTTTTCTTCTCTGTGTGGCTGCTCAGGTGTGCAGCATGCTGATGAGGAGTGAAGATGCACAGTGCCCCTCGTTTCAGTATTTATTGTGCTCAGACCAGACACCAGCAAGTGCTTCATGAGCTTCTTCTCATTAGGCCCCACAGGAAGGTGCCATGACTACCAGTATTTGTGGAATTAATTCATCCATCAAGCACTAGTTTACAGTTTTCAGCACTAAGACTGGTACTTCTTGCCAAAGAGCTAGGAGTAAATTATTGATGGGTTTAAATAGAGTTTAATAAATATCAGGCAATCTCTGTGCACATGGAAGTTCTCTGAACATTTTGGTTTCGTTTTATGTTATCTCTATGTGTGGGATGTCTTAGCTTTTTCTTGCTGAGCTATACTTTACATAGAATACAATGCAGGGATCTGAAGAGAATGGCTGGATGTGCTTTGACAGCTGGCATCGATCAAGTTCTCATGTCAGGAGACCCTTAAGTGTGTCACCTGTTTATTGAAGGGCACCAATCTATACACTTACCAAAGGCCAGCTTCACCGGGAACTGTCAGCTAGTGAGCTATGCTGCATGTTCACTGAGATGGCTTCCACAGCATTTTCTCTGTTTGTTCTTGTTCCTGGCATTGTATTGAAATCATCTTCTTGAGATTAACCAGAGATAACCTGCAGTATTTCTGTCTGACTCAAAAACAAAATTTCATGACTGCTTTACAGAAAGTTCCCCTCAGCCGTCAGTGGAATGTGCCCAGGGATTGTCTCTCCAGGCCTGACCTACAGAAAGAGCATTTGGTGGTCTATGTATTGATTTTGTCCTGTCCCTTCCTGAGGTACATGCT